CGTGCCTGTAATCCCAGCTACTCAGGAGGCTGAGGCAGGAGAATTGCCTGAACCTAGGAGGCGGAGGTTGCGGTGAGCCGATATCGCGCCATTGCACTCCAGCCTGGGTAACAAGAGTGAAACTCTGTCTCAAAAAAATAAATGAATAAATAAAATAAAAATAAAAAAAATTAAAAAAAAATAAAAATTTTTCTTTTTTGAGATGGAGTCTTGCTCTGTTTCCCAGGCTGGAGTGCAGTGGCACCATCTCGGCTCACTGCAATCTCCATCTCCTGGGTTCAAGTAATTGTCCTGCCTCAGCCTCCCGAGTAGCGGGGATTACAGGTGCATGCCACTACGCATACTAATTTTTTTTTTTAAAGACAGAGTCTTGCTCTGTTGCCCAGACCGGAGTGCAGTGGTGCAATCTCAGCGCCCTGCAACCTCCATCTCCCAGGTCAAATTGATTCTCCCGCCTTAGCCTCCCGAGTAGCTGGGATTACAGGCATGTGCCATCATGCCTTGCTAATTTCTTCAATTTTTAGTAGAGATAGGGTTTTACCATGTTGGCCGGGCTCGGCTCGAACTCTCCGCCTCAAGTGATCTGCCCACCTCAGCCTCCCCAAAGTGCTGAAATTACAGGCCTGAGCCACTATGCCCAGCCATGACTAATTTTTTTAATTTTAGTAGAGATCAGATTTAATTGTTTTGGTCAGGCTGTTGTAGAACTCCTGACAACAGGTGATCTGCCTGCGTCAACCTCCCAAAGTGCTGGGATTACAGGCATGAGCTACCACGCCTGGCCAACTAACTGGCAAAACATTCTTGCCAGTGCGGTGGCTCATGCCTGTAATCCCAGCACTTCGGGAGGCCGAGGAGGGGAGATTGTCTGAGCTCAGGAGTTTGAGACCAACCTGGGAAACATGGTGAAACCCCGTCTTTACTAAAATAAAAAGAAATTAGGAGGCCGGGTGCAGTGGCTCATGCCTATAATCCCAGCACTTTGGGAGGCTAAGGCGGCTGGATCATGAGGTCAAGAGATCGAGACCATCCTGGTCAATGTGGTGAAACCCGTCTCTACAAAAAATTAGCTGGGCATGGTGGCGCGTGCCTGTAATCCCAGCTACTCAGGAGGCTGAGGCAGGAGAATTGCCTGAACCCAGGAAGCGGAGGTTGCGGTGAGCCGAGACCGCGCCATTGCACTCCAGCCTGGGTAACAAGAGCAAAACTAGCACTTTGAGAGTTTGAGGTGGGTGGATCATGAGGTCAGAAGATAGAGACCACTCTGGCCAAAATGGTGAAACCCCATCTCTACTAAAATACAAAAAAAAAAAAATTAGCTGGGCGTGGAAGTGGGCGCTTGTAGTCCGAAGCTACCCAGCAGGCTAAGGCAGGAGAATCACTTGAACCCAGGAGGCAGAGGTTGCAGTGTGCCAAGATCGTGACACTGTACCTCAGCCTGGCAACAGAGCGCTCTGTCTAAAAAAAAAATTTGCTGGGTATGGTGGCACGTGCCTGTAATCCCAGCTACTTTGAAGGCTGTGATAAGAGAATCGCTTGAACAGGGAGGTGGAGGTTGCAGTGAGCGGTCATCGCGGTGAGCCACTGCACTCTAGCCTGGGCGACAGAGACTCCATCTCAAAAAACATAAAGAAAGAAAAGAGAAATTCTTACCCTTTTGCCGGCATTCCACGCTTCTGGTTTCCCTTTCCCTGAGAGGCCCTAGTGACCCAGCTGGCTGCACCACAGCCCTGGGGGCCAAGCTGCAACACAAAGCTAAATTATCTTTTCCATTCCTTGCCAGAGCAAAACATGTGTGACAAAACATACACATTAGCCACACTGCTTAGCCCCAAATATCAAACTGGCAAGGCTCAAACTTGCCCCGCCCCCCCAAGTTGGGCTCCATTGTCTTTAATCCAACCTCCGACCAGGAGTTTCAACTTGGTCCCTGGGCAAGATGGTCACCCTGAGTAACAGAAAAGATAAGAAAGAAAAGGAGGGGCCGGGCGCGGTGGCTCAAGCCTGTAATCCCAGCACTTTGGGAGGCCGAGGCGGGTGGATCACGAGGTCAAGAGATCGAGACCATCCTGGTCAACATGGTGAAACCCCGTCTCTACTAAAAATACAAAAAATTAGCTGGGCATGGTGGCGCGTGCCTGTAATCCCAGCTACTCAGGAGGCTGAGGCAGGAGAATTGCCTGAACCCAGGAGACGGAGGTTGCGGTGAGCCGAGATCGCGCCATTGCACTCCAGCCTGGGTAACAAGAGCGAAACTCCGTCTCAAAAAAAAAAAGAAAGAAAAGGAGACAGAAAAGCAGTGCCTGTGGCAGGTTGGGGAAGGTGAGAAGCTTAGAGAGGCCAGAGAAGATACCCCTTCCCATTGCAGCGACATGGAAGAATTCAGGTGGCTGCTTGTCAGCAGCAAAGGGATCTTTTCCAGCAGTCCCATCAGCTCTCAACTTTCTCATTTGGGGGAGAACCAAGCTGCCCACGTCCTGTTCTTCTGTACAGGCCTAATCCTGTAACCCATAGCTATCAGCATGGCAGACGATTCCAAGGAGAATAGCAGTTAACATCCCATAGTGCCAAACCCATTCTTAGCCAAGAGGGACTTTACTGAGAGAGGCCTCTAACCCCCTCAATCTTAGGAATCCTTCCAAAGTTGAGCATCTAACCAAAGGTCGGTCAAGCATCCTTGCCTTTTTTTGAAAGGAGCCCTTAACCTACTCTGTCTTAGGAGAGACTCTACGTCCTCTAAGTTGGATCTCTAAACCAATCACATTCTTTACCTGGGTATCTGCACCCCACTTACTCGAAGCCAGATTTTCCTCTGGGTTGGAAGGTCTCTTCATTGTTGATGAAAAGAGTCAAACTCTGTAGACTATTTGAAGAGACTTATTCTGAGCCAAATATGAGTGACCATGGACTGTGACACAGCCCTGAGGAGGTCCTGAGAACATGTGCCCAAGGTGATCGGGGTGCAGCTTGGTTTTATACATTTTAGGGAGGCATTAGACATCAATCAAATACATTAAAGATGAGCTGGGCACGGTGGCTCACTACTGTAATCCCAGCACTTTGGGATGCTGAGGTAGGCAGATCACAAGATCAGGAGATCGAGACCATCCTGGCCAACATGGTGAAATCCCGTCTCTAGTAAAATACGAAAAATTAACCAGGTGTGGTGGTGCGCGTCTGTAGTCCCAGCTACTTGGGAGGCTGAGGCAGAGGAATCGCTTGAACCGGGGAGGCAGAGGTTGCAGCGAGCTGAGATCAAGCCACTGCACTCCAGAATGGTGACAGAGCAAGACTCCGTCTCAAAATAAATAAATAAATAAATACAATGGTTTGGGCTGGGCGTGGTGGCTCATGCCTGCAATCCCAGCACTCTGGGAGGCTGAGGTATGTGGATCACAAGGTCAGGAATTCAAGACCAGCCTGGCCAATATGGTAAAACCCCGTCTTTACTAAAAATACAAAAATTAGCAGGGCATGATGTTCTGTGCCTGTAGTCCTAGCTACTCAGAAGGCTGAGGCAGGAGAATTGCTTGAACCCTGGAGGCGGAGGTTGCAGTGAGATCATGCCACTGTACTCTAGCCTGGGTGACAGAGTGAATCTCCCTCTCAAAAAAAAGAAAAAAAAAAGGAAAAGAATAAAAGAATGGCTATTCCATAGACAGAGCAGCCCTAAGGGCTGCTGGTTGGCCATTTTATGGTTATTTATTGATTATATACTAAACAAAGGGTGAATTATTCATGCTCTGTTTTTTTAGACCATATAGTGTAACTTCCTGAAGTTGCCATGGCGTTTGTAAACTGTCATGGCATTGATGGGCGTGTAGTTGTGAGGACAGCCAGCGGCCACTCTTTTTTTTTTTTTTTTTTTTTAAGACGGGGTTTCGGGCCGGGCGCTGTGGCCCACACCTGTAATCCTAGCACTTTGGGAGGCTGAGGCGGGTGGATCACGAGGTCAAGAGATCGAGACCATCCCGGTCAACATGGTGAAACCCCGTCCCTACTAAAAATATAAAAAATTAGCTGGGCATGGTGGCACGTGCCTGTAATCCCAGCTACTCAGGAGGCTGAGGCAGGAGAATTGACTGAACACAGGAGGTGGAGGTTGCGGTGAGCCGAGATCGCGCCATTACACTCCAGCCTGGGTAACAAGAGCGAAACTCCATCTCAAAAAAAAAAAAAAAAAGACGGGGTTTCACCATGTTGGTCAGGCTGGTCTTGAACTCCCGACCTCAGGTGATCCTCCCGCCTTAGCCTCCAAAGTGCTTGGAATACAGACGTGAGCTACCATGCCCGGCCCGCATCAGCGGTCACTCTTATTGCCATCTTGGTTTTGGTGGGTTTTAGCCAGCTTCTTTTTTTTTATTATTTATTTATTTTTTATAGAGAGGGGGTTTTAACCGTGTTGGCCAGGCTGATCTCGAACTCCTGACCTTGTGATCCACCCGCCTTGGCCTCCAGCTTCTTTACGGCAGCCTAGTTTATCAGCAACGTCTTTATGGCCTGTATCTTGTGCTGACCTCCTATTGTTGTACCTGAGCGAGCATAGAAAGTCAACAGCAAGACAAAAGTATGCCATATTGCAGGGTCTTTATTGCCTGCGGCCACTGAGGACTCACGTCTCTCCAACCTGAGGCCCGGAAAGGAGGGTATCAAGACCTTTTATGCCCGTAAACCACCTCCTGGGCAGGGGTGGGGGCGAGGGGCTTTGGACATTCTGTGGGCCAGTGGACTTTGGACATTCTGTAAACCACCTCCTGGGCGGGGGTGAGGGTGAGGGGCTTCGGACATTCCGAGGGCCAGGGGACTTTGGACATTCCGATTGTTACTTAAGTGGTTCACAGAAGTCAAGATAAGCGTTAGTTTACACATTGCCTGGGTAGGGTGGAAATTACAGACCTTAGTTACTTATTACAAGTCGCAGGGGCTAAGATGGCCTGGGCTTGGACTGCTTGCCTGTCACATCAGGGTTACAGAGAGCAGTTTTAACAGAAAGCCAAGGTATGGTTGAGGTATGCAGTTTTATGGGGCTTTTACCATGTCACACTATCTCATCCTGTGGCTCAGAATGCCTTAACCTTCGGAATGCAGCCCAGTAGGTCTCAGCCTCCTTTTACCCAGCCCCTTTTTGAAGATGCAGTTGCTCTATTAAACACTTCTGACGGGTGTGGTTTCTTTACACAAAGGGATTGCAGATGGGGTTAGGTCCCTGTTCCACCAGCCTGGCTCCTTCCCAGTTCCTGTTTAATACAGCCCCACATATTAGAAATTATCTGCCAGCAATGTGGCCCCACCCCAGAAAAGAAAAAAATTACCCTTTAGAAGTCATGCAGCTAGCAGTCACAGGACTCTAAACGTCCTCAATTGTTCCTGGGGATAATGTCAGTATTGTAAAACCTAAGCTTGGTGCTGGAGGTATTTTTCAGACCCTGAACTTGATGGCTCTGATGCTGCCACCCGGATGGGTGAACTGGCTCTTCTGATGTTGTGGCCCTGCCCTGCCCCAGGAACTGACTTCGCACAAGAGAAAAACTTTGACTCCCTATGATTTCATCTCCAACCCAGCCAATCAGCACTCCTCACTTCATGGCACCCTATCACCAAATTATCCTTAAAAAACCCTGGTCATGGGAGGCAGAGATGGTAGTCAGCTGAGATCACGCCATTGCACTCCAGCCTGGGTAACAGGAGCAAAACTCCAACTCAAAAAAGCAAACAAACAAGACCTGGTGTGGTGGCTCAGGCCTGTAATCCCGGCACTTAGGAAGGCGGAGGTGGGTGGATCACGAGGTCAGGAGATTGAGACCATTCTAGCTAACACGGTGAAACCCCATCTCTACTATGAATACAAAAATTATCCAGGAGTGGTGGTGTATGCCTGTAGTCCCAGCTACTTGGGAGGCTGAGGGAGGAGAATCACTTGAACCCGGGAGGCGGAGGTTGCAGTGAGTCAAGATCATGCTACTGCACTCCAGTCTCAGCAACAAAGTGAGACTGTCTGAAAAAAACACAAAAAACAATCACAGAAAAACCACAAATGAAAACAAAACCTGTCTCCACACTGATTTAAGTAATATTAATAAGACTCCGGTCTGCTGTTCATCCAAATCTGTGTGAATAAAACTGTTTTTCTTTTGTAATTCCCCTGTCCTGATAAATTGGCTTTATCTGGGTAGTGGGCAAAATAAACCCGCTGGGTATACACATTCATTTTAACAACACAATAATGGTTATTAACCTTTGCATTAATCTCTGCTTCTGGTAGAGGAATTTTGCATCTGAAGGACCATTTGAAATGATAGGTAAATTTGGATCTGTAGCCTTTGGGAGCATCTACACTAAATCTGAAATATTTTTCCATGCACTATGCTAATCAGTTATATCCAATAATCCCAAGAAATCTCAATATGAGTTCTAAGGAAAGGCAGGATGATCCTCTGCTCAGTAGAAAGATGTGCCAGCTTTTATATATTTTTATTTAATTAATTTTTTTTGAGGGAGGAAATTCAGTTTATTTAATGTGTTTCTTAGTAATGGAATTGTAGGGCCTGGCGCGGTGTCCTGTGCCTGTAGTCCCAGCTACTCGGGAGGCTGAGGCTGGAGGACCGCTTGAGCCCAGGAGTTCTGGGCTGTAGTGCACTATGCGGATCGGGTGTCCTCACTAAGTTCGGCATCAATATGGTGACCTCCCGGGAGCAGGGGACCACCAGGTTGCCTAAGGAGGGGTGAACCGGCCCAGGTCGGAAATGGAGCAGGTCAAAACTCCCGTGCTGATCAGTAGTGGGATCGCGCCTTTGAATAGCCACTGAACTCCAGCCTGGGCAACATAGCGAGACCCCGTCTCAATTAAAAAAAAAAAAAAAGGTAGGCTGGGCGCGGTAGCTCAAGCCTGTAATCCCAGCACTGTGGGAGGCCGAGGCGGGTGGATCACGAGGTCAAGAGATCGAGACCATCCTGGTCAACATGGTGAAACCCCGTCTCTACTAAAAATACAAAAAATTAGCTGGGCATGGTGGTGCGTGCCTGTAATCCCAGCTACTCAGGAGGCTGAGGCAGGAGAATTGCCT